ATACAATATTGATAATATATGTAGTATATTGTATACCTAATATAATACTGGAATAATTCAAGCCTGTAAGTTTGGAAAGTTCAATAGATTACTTTTAAAATTTAAGTTTTTCATTAATCCCTACATACATAAAAATGTTGACTATCTATGTACATATAAAATTTTTTCAGTAATTCATGGCTGTTTTGGGGAATTATGTATGCTTTCAGTTTATTTGTGCATCATTCAAGTTAAAGGATATAATTTTTCTAGGAAAAAAAAAAACATGTGCAAGAGTAAATAGGTGATTTTTAAATATCTTTGAAAAAATACTTGAAGAGAGCTCTTTCAATACATATATTTTAAAATTCTAGTAAGCATTGTGTTATAGTATAAATGGCAGTGAGTTTTTTTTTTTGCAGTTTTTGGCCAGGGCCAAATTTGAACCCACCATCTCTAGTATATGGAGCCAGCGTCCTACTCCTTTGAGCCACAGGCGCTGCCCAAAATGGCAGTGATTTTTTTATTTGCAGTATATAAAAATGATACTTCTTATGACAACAATTTTATAAATAAAATCGGGTGGTGCGAATATAGCTGAGAGGCTTTTGTTTTTTTCTATGCTTTGAACATTTTGTAATATTGCTTATAAAACATTTATACTAAACTTCTTGAAAAAATCTAAACACTTGTAGATCTTTTTTTTTTTTTTTTTTGAGACAAGAGTCTTACTATGTCACCCTCAGTAGAGTGCCATTGTGTCACAGCTCACAGCAACCTCCAACTCTTGGGTTTAAGCGATTCTTTTGCCTCAGCCTCCCAAGTAGCTGGGACTACAGGTGCCTGCCACAATGCCCAGCTATTTTTTGGTTGTGGTTGTCATTGTTGTTTAGCTGGCCCAAGCTATGTTTGAACCCACCAGCCTCCGTGTATGTGGTTGGCACAGTAACCACTATGCTACGGCCGCTGAGCCAACACTTGTAGATCTTAGCAAGATCCACTTTGGGTGTACCTGCCATTCTTAATATCTGGTTAACATCAAAACTTAACATTTAAGTTAACAGCAGAGATGATTTAGAAAGAGATTTGTCTACAAAGGAAAAGAAAATTAAAGACAGAAATGGGTCTTCTAATTGTGGGGAAATGTTACAAATGGGGAAGTTCAAAAGAATTACATGGAAACTAAAAGTAAATGATATTTGACACAACTTCTTGTTTTAAGGATACTTGAGTCTTCCTCTTTTTAAATATTTGAAACAGTTTATTTTCATTGCAGTTGTGTAAGAAATACATAGAATATAGAAAACAGTGAAACAAATATCTCCCAATTTTATTCATTGTTAATATTTTGCCGTTTTTTCTCTTTAAAGAATTAGAACATTAAGAGTATAACCAAAGCCCCTCATGCATTTCTCTCCTTCTTTGGGATAACCATCATCTTGAAATTGATGGCCTGCCATTCCTGCGTTGTTTTTTCTAACTACATGTGTGTGTGGGTATGTGTGTGTATATAGTGCATGTATTGTTTAATATCTTTAAATTTTTTATATAAATAGTATCATTGTATACATACATTCTTTTCTGACTGTATAACTCAACATTAGATTCTTAATAAATGAAAATTCTTTCATTTTAATTGTATAGTTTCTTTTTTTATTCATACCTCAACAACTTATGATTTCCCTACTGAAGTGCATTCAGATTGTTCCCACTCTTTGATTGTGTAAAAACCTTCCACAATAACCATCTTTGAACACGGCTTTTAGGTGCACCACCTTGGCGTTCCTTCGCCTCACTAGGCAATTCTGAATTGTGCTGTATTCCTGGGACCAATAACTCGTGAGTGTGTATTTTACTATGTCCATGTCAGGGTGATATTAGTAGACTTAGAACGGTGGAGAATCTTTTGTTTATGAAGTAGTATCATTGCTGTAATTTGCATTTGAGTGACTGCTGGTGAGGCTGAGATTACTTGTTTGTTTCTGCAGTGCTGTGGGCTTGTTACTTGTTGATTTGTGGGAGGTCTTTCTCTTTTCTGCATGTGTTGTCAGTCACTTAGGTTGCAGATATCTCCACCTACAGGTAATGCCACCTCTGTGATGGCTCAAGTTCCTATATATATTTTGGGTCTGGGATTTTCAAAACCATTTGTGGATCCTTTTTAACAGTCTTTGATCTGCTTCTTTCTGTCCTCTCATGGTTTATTGTAAGCAAGAAGCAGCCAGGTAGCAACTTTACCATTTTGCCTGGAAATCTAGAGTAGCCAGTTCTTAGGTCATTTTTCTACTTTCCTCATGAGTGTAGATGAACCTCTTGCCTCCTGTTTCCAGTAAGATCCTCACTTCTGAAGCTGCTGCTGCTGGCAGCTGTCCCTCAAGCCTATCACTCTTCCACTAACTCTCCGCCAGGAGCTGTAGGTGCTCACTAGCACCACTCAGAAGTCTTCCAGATTCCCCCCACTGCCAGACCAAGGCAATACCTTCTTTGCTAGTTCTGATAGTAGCATTCCACTTGTTACTCAAATCTGTGTTGGTTACATACTACTGTATGACAAGTTACTTCAAAACCCAGTGACTTGCAATCAACATTTTACAGTTTCTGTGGGTCAATAATTTGTGGGTGGCTTAGCTGGGGCGGGAGGATCCATTTCCAAGAAGGACAGCTCACATGGCTATTGGCAGGAAGCCTCAGTTCCTCTCTGGATCCTGGTGGAAATTTTCGGTTCCTCACTTAGGGTAAGGTGACCAGATTTTAACATTGGTAAAGCCGGACACCATTGAGGAGGGGGTGGTGGAACCTGGGGGGCGGGGCCTGACAACAATACAAACTTTGATAAGCAGTTCTAGATAATCAGTTCTCAACAATTATTTGTTATTATTAAAGTTTAACATAAAATTCACAAAAATAATATAAAACACATATCCTGGCGAAATAGCCACATGGCAGCTGAAAACCATATACTCCTTTCGTGTTCTCCCACGTTCCCTAGCTTGTCTTGCATTCTTTCCAAAAATTGGGGCTTTTTAAAAACACCACAGGACTCAAGACAAATTGTTAAAATTCAGGACTGTCTGGCCAAAAGCGGGACATCTGGTCACCTTACTGTAGCGAGGGGAGGGCTACTTGTTTGTTCCAGACAGTTTGGCTCCTTCTGAGCTAATTGTCCTTGCCTAGAAGCAAGGGAGGGAGCCAGTCTCCTCCTGATACTTTTGAAGTATCAGGAGGGAAGTAGGGAGTTTACATTAGCCTTTTCATTTCCAAATGAAGTTACATTAACCTCTTCATTCCCAAATGGAGTTACATTAACCTTTTCAGCAGCCCAAAACCGTATATTCCCTTCCTATTCTCCTGCTGTTCCCTAGCTTGACAAGCATTCTTTCCAAAAATTGAGACTTTTTAAAAACACTACGGGACAAATTGTTAAAAAGCGAGACATCTTTTCACCTTAACTTAGGGACATTTTCACAGGGCTGTTAAGTGTCCTAGGGACGTGACAACTGGCTTCCTATGGAGTGGACAATGTCAGAGAGAGCAAAGAGGAGTCCACAGTGTCTTCAGTGAATTAGTCTTGGAAGTCAGACACCATCGCTTCTGCTGTTTCCTTCATTAGAAGCAAATCACTGAGGGCCACCGACAGTCAAGAGGAGGAAAATTAGGGGCCATCTGAAAGGGAGGAGTATTAAGAATATGTGGATATATTTTAAAACTAGTACATTGCCTTTAAAGAGAACAAAATGAGATGTCAGTCTTGAAGCTACTGTTAGAGAAATCATGTTTTTAAGGCAAGTGTCCTTCGCGCATGTGCAGCATCCTGGACCACCAGCTGTCAGCCGCCTGCGCCCGGGAGTCACGCTGCGCACCCGCCTGCACGCTCCCCCTGTACACTTATTTTACCCAGACAACCGTGCTAACCATTGAGAATGTCCCAGTCTTACTGGACATTTTACTGAAGTTATTTTCCTAAGACAGACACGTGTTCTGTTGCCCAGATTCTAGGAAAGCAAAGAGGAAGTGAGGAGGCCTCAGAGTTAGTGATTACCACGGTGGACTTTGGGTTCAGGCAGCCTGGCTTGAAGGCTCTGCCAGAGGCCACCAACTTTGTGACCTTCTCCAAGCCTCACGTTCCTCATCAGGAAAATGGGGATGTTTTAGTAGAACTTATCTTTCAGCTTGGGTTTTGTTGCTGTTGTTTGGTTGGTTGGTTTTGTTTTTTGAGACAAAAGTCTGTCGCCCTGGGTAGAGTGCTGTGGTGTCATCAGAGCTTGTAGCACCTCAAACTCCTGGGCCCAAGCCATCCTCCTGCTACAGCCTCCCCAATATGTGGGACTACAGGTGCCTGCCTGTACACCCAGCTAGATTTTATATTTTTAGGAGAGACGGTTCTCACCCTTGCTGAGGCTGGCCTCCACCTCCTGAGCTCTGGAGATCCTCCCTCCTCAGCCTCCCAGAGTGCTAGGATTACAGCCGTGAGCCCTCACGCCGAGCCCTTGGCTTGTTTTGAAAGCTAAATGGAATAGTGTCAGCAAAAATATTTGGCACATAAATATTAGCTAAGGTTTTAGCTTTTTAAAACAAAATTTTAACTCAGAAGAGGGGGGAGTGTTGAAAAGGAAAAGCTCTCCTGCCGTTTATAAAACCCAAATGAACCCTTGAAGAATTTAGAAATGGACCGAGGCAGACAGGAGTGGATTTCTAGGCCCCTTCCAGCCACCGCAGGACTTTGTGCTGACACCTGGCTACCGAAAGTCTTAACCCGCTCCTGGCAGCCGCTCACCCTGCTCTCGGGGGCATATGAGTGGGAGGATGGGCGGGAAGCCGGCAGCGCGCTAGCGGCCAGGGGTCGCCACCCGGGTCCAGGTGACAGGCCAGGCGGGCGGGGCGCAGGCCGCATCTCTGGCCTTCTAGGCCCCGCCTCTGGCCCTCTAGGCCTGGTCTCTGGACCGCCAGGCCCCACCCTCGCCCCGCCTCCTCCCGCGCGGGCCGGGGAGCCTGTAGTGGCTGCAGCTGTCGGAGTTGTGACCTCTGGCGTCGGAGCTTGGCCATGCGAGCCGCGGGCCGGGGGCCGCTGCCGGCGCTGCTGCAGCTGCTGCTGCTGGCCGGGCCCGGGCTGGCCGCCGCCGCGCCCACTGCCCCGCCGCGCTTCAACGTGAGCCTGGACGTGGCTGCCGAGCTGCGCTGGCTGCCGGTGCTGCGGTCCTACGACCGCGAGTTGCTGCGCGCCGCGGTGGTGCAGATCATCGGGTGAGCGGGGGCCGACCGGGGTCTGCGGGGACCCGGGCGGCCGGGTCGGAGCGCCGCAAGCGCAGATGCTTGCTGCCCCGAGTGCTTTAAACCGAAACTCTGCTTCCCCGCTCCCTCTCGGAACTGGCATTTCTGTTGCTCCCCGCAGCGCCCAAGTTGGGGATAATCCGGCTCTGCGGGTTCGCTTTTCAAGTTCAGCGTCTCTGGTGGCACGCCCGTCCTTGAGCCATTCCGTGTCAGGGTGGCGTTCCGGTTTTCTCCCGGGCTGCTCAGCTACTGAGAAGGGGACACACCCCACGTCTTCCTTGTGCAGGCCTCCTGGGCCCCGCAAGCCTTCCTCTTTGGGGACCAGCCCCATTCGCCCTCCGGATGCTAAGGGTTGTGTGACACGGCGCCTGGCCCTTCAGCCCTCTGGAGAGCAGGGGCACCCTGCGCTCACCCCCAGGGTGTGGCCCCCCCCTTGCCCGCCTCCGCCCTTGGTGCGGGGCAAACATCCTGCTGCTTTTACGTTTCTAGGGACAGAGTCCCCACGTGGGTGCACGCGCTGATGGGAAAGGTGGTCCTGGAGCTGGAGCGCCTCCTGCCGCAGCCCTTCACCGGCGAGATCCGCGGCATGTGCCGCTTCCTCAACCTCAGCCTGGCCGACTGCCTCCTGGTCAACCTGGCCTACGAGTCCTCCGCGTGAGTGCCCCGAGCTCAAGGATTAACGTGGGGCTTGCCACACTCGATGGGGGGCGTTTCCGTGTTTCAGCGCGGTGAAAACGGTGGTGACCGGCTGCCCAGCAGCCCCCAGCGCTTCTCTGTGCCTCTCTGTGCAAATGTGAGCAGTAGATCGTGGGCTTGGAGAGGAGCGCGCGCAGCTTCTCTGACTCAACACCGACATTTTCCTCTACCTGAAGCCCCTGTGCTCTCTCCACCAATCCAGGGAGTAGCTTACTTTCAAAACTCTGATCAAAATGTACTTTTCCAGGAAGTTTTGGAAAGTAAGCCTGTGTCTCTCTCCAGCTTTGTATCTGTACTGGGTCCTTCCTGCACTTTTTTTTTTTTTTTTTTTTTGAGACAGTCTTGTCCCCTTGGGTGGAGTGAGGTCGCATCACGGTTCACAGCAACCTCCAACTCCTGGCCTCCAGCGATCGTCTTGCCTCATGAGCCTCCACACGCCCACCACAACGCCCGGCTAAATTTTCTATTTTAGTAGAAATGGAGTCTCACTCTTGCTCAGTCTGGTCTGGAACTCCAGAACTCAGACAGTCCTCCTGCCTGGGCCTCCCAGTCCTTCCTGCCCTTACTGGTCCCCCTTACTTTATCCCTCCGTGTATCTCACTGCCCGCGATGCTCCCTACTGCTTTCTCAAAGTCTGTTTCCAAGGGGGGGGGGGTGTGTGTGCAGGGAACACCCGTCTGTCCTATGGCAGCCTATGTTTGGACCTAGTGAGTGTGATAAATCGTGGTACCCAGAAATAGGAGCAGGCGGAGTGTGGTTGATCCCAGGCAAAGTACAGAGGGACCCTTAAATATTTATGGGGTTAGTAACAGGTCTTAGAAAAGGGTGGCTTGCTTTCTCCTATTAACAATTACTGTTCTACCACCATACCAGCCTAGTCATTGATCTGGTGACATCTTGTAGATACTTAGAGCTAGCTTCTTGCCTTCTGAAGAAGATGAAAGTAGGCTGGCACAGTGGCTCGGGCCTATAATCCTTGCAGTCTGGGAAGCCAAGGCGGGAGGATCACTTGAGGTCTGGAGTTCAAGGCCAGCCTGAGCAAACCTGAGTGTTACACTCTAGCCTGGGTGACAGCGTGAGACTCTGTCTCAAAAAGAAAGAAAGGAAGGAGTAAATAAAGATACTGGGGTGGAAGGAAGGAGTAAAAAGAAATCTTGGGGGGCGGCAGTGGCTCATGCCTATAATCCTAGCACTTTGTGGGGGTGCTGCAGCAAGATGACCTCTTGAGGACAGAAGTTCAAGACCACCTCTGAGCAAGAGTGAGACTCTGTCTCTGCAAAAAAAAAAAGAAAAAATTAGCTAGGTTCAGTGGCCCATGCCTGTAGTCCTGGCTACTTAGAAGGCTGAGGCAGGGGGATCACTTGAACCCAGGTTGCAGTGAGCTGTGATGATATCACTTCACTATAACCTGGGTGATGGCGTGAGACCCTGTTGCTGAAAAATAAATAAATAAATAAACAAACCCCCTCAAAACAAACCAAAGACACTTGGGATAATGAAACTTTAATGGCCTTGCCATTATTCTGAACAGTAAGCAGCGTAAATTGGGAAGCTCTGTGAACTAAAAGCCTTCCTCTTCCGGAAAGTGCCTTCAAACACAGATGAGACTCAGGCCTGCTAAATTTAAGTGTTTCAAGAGAACTAAGTTAATTTTACCATCCTTCTTCCTGTCTCCAACTGTTTCCTATTTTGACATGCAGCTTTCTCAATGAAAAATCACTCATCATTTTTACCCTCATTTGTTAGAGTCAACCATATTCAGCCAAAAGTTCCAGTAAACCCATTCTGACTTTTGGATTTGATACTAAGGTATTTAATGAATTGCTTAACAATAGAAAGCACTCTCAGATTCCACTGGCATCCACAAAGGAAATGCTTTGTTCTCATTGCAAAAGTAAGGCTTCTTGAATCAGAATGTCCTAGCTACCCTATATTGAGCCTGCTGGTTGCCAGGCACTCCATGAACACAGTCCCATGGGGAAGGTTGCCACTGGGTCCTCTGTTTTGTGATGTGGAAACCAAGCCTCCGAGGGGACAACTTGCTGAAAGTCAGGGGCTGAGGAGTGCTAAGGGCACGAGGGTGTCCAGCACTGGTCTCCTCATTGCCTCCTGTGCTGTGCACGTCACACCAAAACGTTCTGCAGGACACTGGAGTATTTTGACCTGGCCAATTTTGAAATATCACTTTGAGAGAGATTCTACAAACTTGCTTTAGTTCATCCTTTATCCTATCTGTCCCCTCCCTGTCCTCAACTCTTTGAAGTTCACATTGGAAGGAATTAAAACCTAACCAAGCTTCCTTCCTTAGACAAAAATAACTAGCACTTGCTTTTTGTCCTAATTATAAAGTAGTATGTAATTATTGTAGAAAATCAGTAAATGCAGAAAAGCCTAAAGAACAAAATAAACACCAACTTATTACTCAGAAATGACCCGAAAGTCCTTCGGAGTATTTCCTGTAGTTTTGTTTGTGTGGATGTGCATAGCTTTCTCCCTAAGAACTGAACATACTGTGTATAAGTATTTTTTCATAAATAGATATTTTGATGTTTTGACAAACTTCCTCCTCTTTTTCTCAAAATACTCTGTCTAACCCAGTGTCCTTAGAGGATCCTTTTCTTTTATTAGCCCTGTGCAAGGATTTCTAAGAGAGATAGGAAGAGTGCTAAATTCTTAAAGAACTAACCATTTTCCCCAGGGGACAAAATGAAACATTGTGGAACAAAGGCTTACTGCCCTTGTAGTTGCTCTGAGACATTCATGGTATGGAGAGGGGAGCTTGGGTTAGCTTTAAATAATGTTAAATATTACTGCGAGGCAGAGGAACAAGCAGAGTTGGGGGGGGGGAGCAGATGAGTCAGTTCACTTAGTGTTTAGACTTGGGATGAAATTCTCACTCAGTGCGCTCACCAGGTCATCCGTGTGCACCTAGGACAAAGGTTTAGGAACATGGAATGAACGCAGATAAGTTGTGTCCAATTATGTTTTTCATCTTAAATTGAGAATCCATGTTCTTGTACAAGGAGAATACCATATGTGTCAGTTATAATGAAGACAAACTATTTTGCTTTGAGGGCTTGCTTTAAAAATTAAAACTTATTCCCCTTTTTTATTTCATTCACCTTGGACCTTTCCCTTTTCTAGGTTCTGCACCAGTATTGTGGCTCAAGACTCCAGAGGTCAGATTTACCATGGTCGGAACCTGGATTATCCCTATGGAGATACCTTACGCAAGCTGACCGTGGATGTACAATTCTTAAAGAATGGACAGGTATAATCTGTACAGTATAAGATACAGAGTTTGCAAAGACTCGTTAACCCAAGTTAGCAATCACTCGGATGGCCTGCTAATTCAAGTGTGTCATCAGTGTCAGCTACAAAAAACTTCAAACTGCTGGAAAAACAAAACCGAGAAGGGGATCATTTTATTATTATTAAATAATAATAAGAGTCTCACTTTGTCACTCTTGGTAGAGTGCGGTGGCATCACAGCTCACAGCAACTTCAAACTCTTGGGCTTAATGACTCTCTGGCTTCAGCCTCCCAAGTAGCTGCGACTACAGGCACCCACTACAACACCCAGCTATTTTTTTGTTGTAGTTGTCGTTGTTTAGCAGGCCTGGGCCAGGTTCAAACCTGCCAGCCTTGATGTATGTGGCTGGTGCCCTAACCAGTGAGCTACAGGTGCCAAGCCCATTTTATTATTCTTTTCTTTTTTTTGAGACAGAGTCTCATTATGTCACCCTTGGTAGAGTGCTGTGGCATCACAGCTGACAGCAATCTCCAACTCTTGGGCTTAAGTGATTCTCTTGCCTCAGCCTCCCAAGTAGCCGGGACTATAGGTTCCCACTACAATGCCTGGCTAATTTTTGTTGTAATTGTTGTTTAGCAGGCCCGTTCCAGGTTCAAGCCCACCAACTTCGGTGTATGTGGCTGGCACCCTAATCACTGAGCTATGGGTGTCAAGCCCATTTTTTTTATTCTTGGACAGCTACTTAAGGAAGTCAGTTAATTTTTCTTAGGGAAATCTCTTTTGGGGTATGAGCAATCTTCCATTTTTGCCGAGTCAGCTCTTTGCTTTCCCATGTTCAGGCTGCTTCTGGAATAGAGAGGGGCTGGGCAGTGCAATGGGTAGGACCTTCCAGCTTTGGGAATCGCACAGTCCTGGGTTTAAATCTTGTTTCTGTTGATTACCATACTTTGTCAATCTGGGAAATCACACCCATTTTGCAGACTACAGCTCAGAGAGATTTGTAACAACTTTATTGAGATGGTTATAAGTATTACTTGTTTATTTATTTTGATTAGAGATTAGGGTCTTGCTCTGTCGTCCAGGCTGGAGTGCAGTGGTGCGATCATAGCTCACTGTAACCTCAAATTCCAGGGCTCAAAGCATCCTCCTACCTCAGCCTCCTGAGTAGCTGGGACTCATGTGTGTGCCACCATGCTCAGCTAATTTTGATTTTTTTGGGTAAAGATAGAGTCTCACTATTTTGCTTAGGCTGGTCTCACACTCCTGACCTCAAGCAATCCTCCTGCCTTGGCCTCCCAGAGTACTGGGATTACAGGTGTAAGCCACTGAACCTGGTTCACGATGCTTATAAATGTTAGATGACATAATCCATGTAAAGCATGTGGTGGGTACTTGATATATAGGGACCAAATAATAAATAATCCTTCATTTTACAAGTATGAGTCACCTAAACCACTCTCTTCTGTATGTATTTTCTTTAAAAAAATCATACTTAGATTGTTTTAAGCATGGTTCCTTTAAAACTATAATCTAATATGCACTGATGTTACATCACTAACACTGTACACTTTTAGAGAGAGAGCATAAATCAATATTCACTGAGTACGCGAAGCATGTTATTGCTGTGAAGCAGAAGCCAGAGTTTGGTTTTAAGGACAAGGACGATTCTCTCCTTTGTCCTTTGGATTTAGGGGTTGATTCACAAATACTAGACACTCGTTTACTGAGTATTCGTTTAGTCATCTCTTTTACAAACACTTTTTCCTCACAAAAAATTTAAATAATACAGAATTAAAGTAAATTTAGTTAGAAATTTCTCCTTTCCAATTTCATTTCTTTACTTCACCACTTTTAACAATTTGATTTCCAAAATGTTTTGTGTGGTAATAATAGAATATAAACACATAATAAATTCCAAAAGGAAATTTGCCAAGATATTAAATTATTACTGAATTATTATTTCTTATAATTATTTTATTACTTTATGCTTTTCTCCGTTATTCTACAATGAACAAATATTCTTATAAGTAGATAAAGGAATAGAAGCAATCAAAGTAGATCATTTCAGCTGTTCTCGCTAAAACTCACACTCACAGTTGTTCCTTTGTTCGTTTCTGTTTCCCCGGAGCTCCCATGAGAAATGGTCTATGGGGGTGGCTTTACTCTCCGTGCTCACGCACTGGTTATTACTGGAGTCTAGATTTCAGACAGTTCACACTTGGGGATTGCCTTTCTGCAACAGAGCTCATGGCCAAGAAATTGTTTTGCTAAGAACAGGTTTTCCACAAAATAATTCATCTCATTCTTGGCCAGTGTTCATTATTTTAAAAGCATTTTCACGAACAGGACCTCATTTGATCCTCCCAGCACCCCTGTGAGGTGGACACAAATCAGCATTTTCAGCCTCATTTTCTAGATGAGGGCGCCAGGCCTTACAGAGACTGGCTTGCCCCATGTCACACGTGGCAGAGGCAGGACCAGAACCCAGTCTTCCCACCTCTTAATAGTTTTCTTTCCCAGAACTCAGCCTCAGTCCCTGCCAGGGGTTTGTTTGTGTTAACTGACTTGGCAGAAACAATTGGAAAGTACTGACATGGAGAAATAAAAACTGAATATTCAGAGCTGAAAGATAAAGTATCTTACAAATTGTATCTTATAATTATTATTTATAATTATGTTTAATTGGAAAATACGACTGCTTTTGATTTTCATAATGTTAGTTTTCTTAGCCCTACAAGAGTGACACTAACATGAGCACATCATGCAAACAAGGTGACCAAATAATTACTTTTTCCTCCCCATGGAATTACATTTTGTAGGAGCTTTAGTAGCGGGGGAGACTTATTCCCACTTTTGTGCTTTGAATGGATGTGAGGAATATTTGAGGAAGGGCCTCAGTACGTCCTGGGGAAAAGATGATTTATAACACTGAGGCTACTGCATTCTCCCTTGTACTTTAACCACCTTAAATTATTTTTATACCCAAATGAAGTAAGAATAAATAATTAAATGAAAATGGTTACTGAAATAAGATTAAGTTTTCTAGGGGAAAATATTAACCTAGGCCTATTCATTTCGCAAAATATGACAACACTGGTTAACTTTTATTGAACAGTATGAGTCAGACCCTGTTCTAGGGTCTTCTAATTTGGCATCAGAAATAACTGAGTTTGATTTTTCTCCTGCGGGTAATACAGTGGTGTCTTGCGATCACTGGAGCTCATTACCTTAATCTGAAATGGGGGTGATGCCTATAACTCCTGAGATAACTGTGAGGAATTTTTAAATATGAAAAATTTAGATGTGATTATTGTTGATGAACAGTTCTACTTGTTTCTCCGGATTTCATAGTGCTCATAAAATATTATATTTATCTCTTATAAACACATTAAAGCAGGTTTTAATTTTTTTATTTTGACTTAATTTTTTATTTGAGATAAGGTCTCGCTTTGTCGTCCCAGACAGATTGCAGTAGGATCATTGTTGCTGACAGCCACCTTAAACTCCTGGGCTCAAGCCATCTTCCTGCCTCAGCCTCCCGAGTAGCTAGCTGGGAGTACAGGCATGCACTACCATGCCTGGCTAGTTTTCTATTTTTTTTCTGGAGACTTGATGTCACTCTTGCTTATCTTGGTTTCGACTACCTGGCTTTAAGCAATTTTCCTGCCTTGACCTCTCAAATGCTAGGATTATAGGTATGAGCCATAGTGCCTGGTACTAATTTTTTTTTCCTTATTTTTTATAGAGAAAGAGTCTTAGGCTGGTTTCAAACTCCTGGCTTCAAGTGATCTTTCTACGTCAGCCCCCCATGCCTGGCCAAAACAAGTTTTTATTTATTTACTTGTTTATTTTTCTGAGACACAGTCTTACTTTGCCTACCCTTGGTAGAGTGCTGTGGTATCATAGCTTTCAGCAACCTCAAACTCTTGGGCTCAGGC